TCGTGATGAGGCAGATGAGACATCCGACTGCCCCACGGAGCAAGTCGCCGATGAGAATCCATCCGCCTTTCAACAACAAGAGAATGTCAACATGGAGCAGGTTGACTATGACTACGACCCAGATTCCGACGACGACGATGATTCAGATGAGGAAGAGCAACCTCTCGCAGGAAGGCCGACGTCGAAGGCGATGCCACATCCAAAACTGATTCCAAAGTCACCTCCACCAACATTGAGGCTTGTGTCGAAGGTCAAGCCAGCACCGAAGAACATCTTGGATGCGGAGACAGAATCCGACAATCATCCTGGTGACCGACCTGCACTTCCAAGGCGACCAGCGATGCGGCCAACTCTCACATCCAACGACCGGTGGCATGTGCCAGATGGATCAGATACCGACATCAGCCTCCAGAGGGAATCCGTACACCCAGGACCTTTCGGGCATTCTAAATTCCTCAAATTTGTGCACGAATATAACCTGGAGTGCTCAACCATCCTTGACTTGAATCCGGACTTCCATTTCATTCCTGAGCATGAACGACCGCATGGAGGCAAGGTATTCTGGCTGAAGGCCAGATTCAACAACTATTGGCGGCCAACGCTTCAGGGTGATGGCAATCACGCAGAGAAACAATACATGGACTTCATCAAGAAGGTCTATGTCATTTGCTGCTACACCCATGCTCAGCCAGAAGTTTACGGAACCGACATCATCCCGATGGTATGTCACAACAACTTGGTGGATCTCGAGAAGACGGTCCAGAATGTTGAACAGGTTTGCAAGTACTTCCACATGGATCCATCCAAGGAAAAACAGATCACCGACCTCATCCTCTGGCGAATTGAGAGAATGAGCAGATTGTTTTCCGGATGTCTTCGACATTATCCAAAGCATGGCATCCATAAGGAATGCAAACGACAAGTGGACATCCTGATGGATCCGTTGAGCTATACGATGCATTGTCCTGCATTACACATGCCAGGAACTTCATTGGAAATAAACCAGGACTTCTCTTGATGGATATGTTCCCGAACTATGGAAAGTCACGTTTCGAGATTGCGTTCGTGTATCCATCCGTGGACGGGCCATACAATGAGCGAAAGGGCAGGGGAGAAATTGTTCCAAGAAACCGATGGATCGACAAACTCACTACGAGACCCGCGTACGATGCACTCCGGCCTAATGGCACGGAATTCCTCAATGATCCCAACATGGAGTTCTATGTGAGATGCAACAGCGGTCATACACGACAAGGCGATCTCCAATCTTTTGGACGACCCCTGTACTACGAGCAGCAGAGTGAGCCTCGCCAAGAAGATGACCTTCCAACGGAATCCACTCCTCCAAGTCCGCATCCGTCAAGATCAGATGCGCCCCATGAAGAAGAAGGCACAGCTCAGGCAAAATACAGACTGCGAAGGCCGGCGCCACCATCCATTGAAGAAGAAAGAAAGATCAAGCCGTTCGCGAAGAAGCCCATCACCTTCATGTTCCATGCAACCTATGGAAATCAACTCATCAGCATCATGGAGAACGGGCTCAGACCTGGAAAATCCCAGTCAAACCCTACGGGGAGAACGCACGTCCACATGGCATGCATCGACGACGTTATCCTCGACATGTGCCAACAGGAAGAGATGCACTGTTGATCCTTGCATTCCTCAAGGACCAGAACTATGGCATCCGACTCTCCGAAGAGCGAACAGCACTGACAGATCAGACCATCGAGGCGAAGAATATTGTTGCAGCATATGAACCTGACGGTACCTCCATGCTGAGCAACAACTGGATCATGAAGAAGCTTCTCAGTCGTGAAGCTGTTGAAATGTACGACACCAAGATCCGGGAATTCGCCGATGCTTTCTTCAGCCATGTAAATTCCGATAAGTACAGCAAGGAAACAGATACTTCCTCAGAGACCACTCCACTGATCAAGACGAAGTTGAAGAGGAGAACATGGAACCTTCCGGGGAGAGATCCGCCAAACCAAAGGTCACAATGGAGTATCGCAATACCGAGAACCTAGACGAGTTCATCAAGGAACTCAAGGGAATCTACCTCGAAATAGAAATGAGCAAGAAGGACGCTGATGAGGAGCTCACGGAAACAAAAAGGAACTTCCTCCGTTTCATGGAGAAGCAGCCAACATCCGGATATCCTATTAAGCTTCCGCTTGGATTGAAGAAGCTTAGGTCACATGGCGACCCGGAAACCATCCGAGCATTTGCCGATATCCTGGGATCGCTGATGCAGCCGACCGACCGTCCTCCTGTGGACCATCTCAAGACGCATGAGTACACCTCATCCCTGACGATCAACATGCTTACCATGAACCATGGAAACCTCACGAGGAATCCAAAACTAGATGGCAGGGAGGTGCACAACATGGCGATGAAGGATCGACCAATCGTGAAGATGCTGATGCAGAACAGCGCACACATCTTATGCCTCAATGAAGCAGACGCATTCCTCAGTCCTCAAGATGAAAAATCCAGAGAACTCATCAAGACGTTCATCCGATTCGGGTACAAGGGCATCGTTATCAAGCAATGGTCATCCAGACCAATTGCATGCTTTGTCCGCGGCGGACCTTCCGCAAGAGTGGAACTATTGGCAAGACACATTTCCTTCAAGAGTCAGTATTGGGGAACCACATTCGGGATGTTCAGATGTTTCTTCGGAACCGAGGAAAATTGCATTGATCCTGAATACAACATTCCGACCTCGGACTGGTTGGCAACTACGGGAACATCCATGTTTACTGAGTCCAAGAAGTACATCGGACCAAGATTGCCAGCAGGCACCATCGTCCAAGGACACGGACGGAACAAAGAGATTGTCGTTCTCCACATCGAGCAGAGTGATGAGTGTCGTGGTATGCTCCCAAAATCATCCAACAATTCACTCCTCGAGTTGGACAGCCGCCACGTAACGAGGGCAGACCTTCCATTTGCTACCATTGGAGTTTTCCACATTCAATGGAAGATTTTCAGAAGGAAAAATCCTGCCACTCGTAACATTGTACCAATGTGACACGATCACTGGAGACGCCAACAAATCCGCGAATACCTACAGCAGACTCCAGCACGTCTTCAATCAAGCCAATGGTCTCATGAATATCCTCATGAAGGCCTATCAGAGTTTGTGGAATGAGACGGAGAATCTTCCACTCGTGGACAGAATGGAGTATGCCATGGAGACCTCATGCACCATCAAATCCATTGTTCGTCATCACTTATACATGAAGACTGGATCAGGGTATGATCGAACATTCCCAGATGTGATGATGACATTCGTGTTTGGGTGGGGCAAAACGAATATCCAGCAGGTTTTCCGGAAGGAAGAGATGAACGCCAAGAGCGATGAACAACTGGAAGCCATGCGGAACGATCCAACGTCTGCCATTTTCGACTATCAGGTCTCATCCGCGGAACGCGGAACGCTTCAAGCATGTGAACATGAACGGCTCACAAGATTCCGACTCGCACAGTCCGCTGATGGTATATATCCAACGCAACTTTGAGAGATCCAAGGAGCACCTCAAGAAGAAGCAATCCTGGACTCAGCAGGAATGCAAAGATTACAACAAGCAGTACTGGGGCAATCAAAAGCACTGGAAGGACTATGGCGATTCGACCTGGAATGATTATGGAGACTATGGCAGTCAATCTGACAGCAGCCGTCGTTGGTACCGCTGATCACTTGATGAAAGAGCCACCTTTGGCACTCATCCGACTGACCAAGAAGACTCACACGACCAGCACTACGAACTACAACCAGATTGATCCTCACCGCCAACAAGACTATTCTGTGAGAGATCAATAGTTTCACATCCGTCCCGCATGTACATAGCGTTGTGCATCACTTTTCGATACATTTAGGTATCGCGCAGAGTCAGTACAAAACGTTTTCATCTTGCTCACATGACAAAATCACCCGCGCCAATTGGATGAATCATTGTAACAATAGATGGCTACGGCCCACACTTTCAAGTATGGCTACGGCACGTAAGGCCATGAAGCCAACGATATTTCATATCTAGTGCTGGAGATCAAAAGAAATGTGTGTCTGTTTTGTGTTTGGTTTGTTACACCATTGATCTCCTGCAACCATTTGGCTCAAGGCCCTCTTGTATATAGCATGTTGCATTCATGCGATAGCAGTACAAAGGCTTGCAGAGACCGCTAGCAGGAATATCAGTCAAGTCAAGCCACCAGGGACAATCCATCCATCCACCAGGGACAATCCATCCATATTGGCATATTGGAATTTTCCGGAATAGTTTAGGGACCAAATCAACGACCTCTACTACCACAGGGTACCAGTTCTCTTCTGGGATAGGCACCTGAGGCAGTGGGCCTCACCCCCCAACCCGCCCAAACAAATGAGGGGGATTCAATGAGTTTGAGTATTCCTTTGAGCTGGCCCAGTACTGTTTAGAACTGGCTTAGTATTGGTTTAGTGCTGCTTGGTGCCGCCTTAGTACTGGCTTTGCCCTAGAAAAGAATTTGTTGGTCATTGGTTTGGCCGACTTGGAAAACAGTTGCGCGATTGGGCACCCCGTTTTCGTTTCTATTTTTGTTATAGGGCAGGGGCGGGGAGACGGTTGCACAATTGGGTACCCCTTTGTCATTTCTAGTGTTGAGTATTTCGGGTGGCCACGTACTGCCCCTTCGAAATTTGTCGGCTGAGCACATTTACATAAAAGGAGAAGCAAGGAGATCAGTGGTTTTGGGAATGGTGTTAATTTATCAGTACTTCAGTTGAAAGCAAGAACTAATGGACAAGAAGAGAGATTGGAATAATTATATATAGGTCAGGGGATGGGCAGAGCTACGCACGGGCGATGAGCTTTTGTGTGGGACGTGTGCAAAGGAGTTGGACCCTTTCAGGGATGGATTTCGGGACAACTCACCAAACTTTTGAGGGGTCGAATCCTGGTTTGACGTCGCCTCCTGGCATGTTTCATGTGCAAAGCATCAAGCATGATGTCCGTGAGGAGCAGCAGGCCCTGGACACACACAGCAGCCCGGGTGGATCCCCCTCCTTCGCGTGCAACTCGCTTTCCGCCTCGGAGGTGCTCGTTTAACTTGCGGCCATTGGCGCTTGGCTTGCGGCTGCGAAAAGGCAAAGAGCATGACGTGCTCTGGGAGACATTTTGAAGGATCACCGGACTTGGGAAAATGAGGTTAGTTTCCTGGGACAACGCGCAATGTTTTACTTGTTTTCTATTTCAACGTGACGTAGCTGGTCAGGGCAAGTTGCAGCATCAGTGCAGAAGGTCACCTTGGCAGCTTGGGGGCGCTGTGCAGTGCAGGGTTTGCTAAGTTAGCAGTTTCCAAGGCTGTGGAATGCTGACTCACGCAGCTGAGCATTGCCAGGCTGGGAGCGGCGAGTTGACACATTTTGGCCGTGGCTTTCGGCTTTGAGCCAAGCAGCTGCAGCCAAGTCAGATCAAAGCCAAAAGACAACTGAGCAGCCAAGGAAATCGGTCAAGTGGCGAAGATGAAAGGTCCAAAAGGATGGCTTGGGGCAATTGAGGTGTGTATATGCGTCAAACCCTTCCAGATGGCAACGGCATCATCTTTGTTTCAACCGCCCAACTGTCCTAGACATCTATGGATGCTTCCCGCTTTACCATCTTTGACCGCTCCCCCAGGCAGAGACATGTGCGCAGTGTTTTGTTTAAGCACGCAGCCGACAGCGCAGGCATGCCATGTGTGAGGAGAGGGTGGAACATGTCTTCAAGGGCCTTACCGACCCCTCGTACAGCACCACGGTGAATCGCTTCTTCCGAGAGGTGTCGGAAGACGCGCAGTGGTGCGTGCTAGAAACCGCGGCAGAGAGATCAATCCTGAGCTCCAAAGAGGCCTACACGAAGAAACTGGAGAAGACGGCGCAATTCACAATGGAGCTTCTGGACATCTTTGGCATCGCCCCACTTTGCATGGTTTGCCCTGGCCAGGACAGCCGTACCACCTATAAGGGCCATGTGTGTGGCAGGGCGCACTTCGGTTTTGTTTTCAAGCACATCGTTGATCGACAGGCCAGTCCCTGGCAAAAATGGAGCATGCTGCTGGGGGAGGTTATGGTGAACTATGTTACCGGTGAGTTGTGGGCCAAGCGGTTCCTCTTCCGGCCTGGCCTAAACATCTACAGGGTGCAGGACTTGCCTGCGTCAGACATTTGGTACTGCGTTAGCTCCGCAGTGTGCTGCCCGATCTCAGACAACACGCAGGGTGACTGGATGAACCTTTGGCCGAACATGAACGGCGGCAAGCCAAGGTGCACGGCCGAAACAAAGAATGTGAAAGAGTCAAATTGCGCGTGTGTTTGTGTGCGTTAGCCTCAACTTTGGGACACTTTAGGGCTGTTTTGTTCATCGCCTGCCCCATGTGGCACAGAAATAAAGCCGCATGAGGCAATAAATGCGAGCCACGTGCTGAGGTGGAAGCAGATGATGCAGCGCCCAGCTGAGCAGCTTGTGATGGTGCTGCAGGCTCACGGCATTGAAGACCATGCCTGCCCTTTCTGCGAGAGCAACTGGGCTGGAGATGGGTCCACGGGCCGGCGTCTCCTTGGACGTCCACCTCTCCCCACCCCCTTCCACTGTATATTTTGCGAGAAACTGCGTGTGCGGGTGCGTGTGTGCGCGCGTGTGCGTGTGCGTGGGCGTGGGTGTGGGCGTGGGCGTGGGCGTGTGCGTGGGCGTGTGCGTGTGCGTGTGCGTGTACGTGTGCGTGCGCGTGTGTGTGTGCGTGCGCGTGTGCTTGCGCGTGTGCCCGTGCGTGTGCGTGCGTGTGTGCGTGTGTGTGTGTGGATCATCCTAGATCACGGATGGAAGGCTTCACCGCCAAGCTGAAGTTTCGTGAGTCAGGGGGTGCAAGCAGCCCATCCGGTCTTGCACCAACGAAGACACCGGATGACCGGATGTGTGCTGGTGATGTCACTGGGGACGCTCAGTGCAAACGAGCCACCTTGTTTGGCGTGTTGCTCCGTTGCTTTAGAAGGACCAATGGCTCGGGTTTGTTTGCGGGTGGGGTGGGGTGGGGTGGGGTGGGTGGGTGTGTGGGTGTGTGTGTGTGTTTTTGTGTTGTGCGTTTTTGGCTTTCTCTGTGTTCCTTGTGTTTTTGTTTTGTGTTTTTGGTTGCGTGCTGCGTGTGGGCTGTGTCACTGTGTGCGTGTGACGTTTTGTGTGTGTGCATTGTTGTCACGTTTTCACTTGATTTAGCACCCACCAGCGGAATCTATGATTCGGACGTTAAGGTGGGCACTCCCTGTGGGCAACAACGCTCATGGGCCCGAAGCACTACGCCACACTGAGCGCAATCCCGAATCTTGTGAATCACCCTCTTCGAAAACAACGCTGGTTGGTGCGGGGCGGCGCGATTCTCTTCGACCACTTGACAGGGGAGATTTATTTGCTTTGCAGCCGCGAGCCAGCTCGACCAGACTTCCCGGTGGCGCCGCCGCGCACGGTGCATGTGACTGTGCCAGCCCCAACCGTCGGTCCGTCCAGCCCAGCCCCCGACATGCCCGCGCCAGGCATGGCGCCTGGCCAGCCTGGAGCTGCGCACGGGTACGAGAGCTCTTCAAACAAGATGCCCAACGGCCAGCACGCAGCGCCGACTCAGCCCCCAGCGCCTGAAAGGTCCACAGCCTCAGACGTGTGCCCACCCTGCGCTCCGAGTGCGCAGTCCGGAGCCCAGCAATCAGGCGGCGAGCAACGCGCTGCGCAAGCTGCAGAGCCGTGGGTTCGAAACATTCTTTCAGAGATGCGCCCAGGTACAATCTTTGAGGAATACTGTGACCCTGTGACTGGCGAATTTTGGTGGCATGATGTCGTGTCCCATGAGCCCTTGTACTGCAAGCCTTCGCCTCCGGCTTTGATTTGCTTGCCTCCGAATCGCTGAGAGCCTCAAAAAGGGTGACTGCTCACCTTGGTTCAGAGTCGGTCAGTGTGCTCGGCCAGCGTTGTCTTGCTACCTTAGAGCTATGCTTCGTGTTGCAACTGTAGAAAACTGTTGGAAGCTGCGTACTTCGAAGCATGGATGCGTTGGTACACAGCTCGTTTTAGTAAAATCGAGGGACAACATTAGGCAGAAAGGGGCCGACCGCAATAAGCAAGCAGATGCCTTTCGCACCCCGTGCCAAACACCTGTGTTCCACCGCGGCCTGCTTACCCCCCCCCCTAAATCATGCTCTGACATTCACCCCTCGGCATAAAATCCTCCTGGAAGGAAAGTGGCTTTGAGAAGGCGAGGGGTAGCTCTGCCAATACACATAAGATAGAAGCTTTGGGAAGTGCACATGGTCGTGATGTCGAGTCGTTTGAATACTGCTTGACTCTTTCAATTTCTATTTAAATCGCTTCGCTATTGCAAATACTAAAATTTAGTCTTACCGGTAGCGACCGGCACCTCCCTTCCAGCAGCTCCTCTGAAACAACAGCCAATAGTGATATATCGATCGTATTATTGCCTGGGCTAAACTTCGTATTGCCAATGCTACATTTTAGTATTGCTAGCATTTATTTTGATATTGTAACTTCCAAGTTTAGTGCTTCCAGTAATATTGCCCGTCTTGCCAGTACTAAATTTAGTATGGCCAATACTGAGTGTAGACTTGATCCACTGGCGTCTCCTTCAAAACCGTTTCGCATTTGCGCCCCACATTTTGATATTTGTTTGTGCCCATGTGATGGCCTGCCCGCCTAAGATAAGCATTTCAGCTGCACCAGGGGTCTATGATAGGTTGAAAGTGATGCAAGGGGCCCCGTAAAGAGCCTGCGAGCAGATCCCTCTTGCATTCCTACCCCTCTGACTCTTTGATTCTCCTTTTGTCGTTGGGAGTGGGCTTGAACAAGCAGCCATTCGTGCAGGAAACTGTTCCGCAAGTTTTTGCGAGATGCCCCGCCCATGCCACTGCGCAATGATTCATTTCCTACGGGGATCAATAGTCGCAGGGCGCTTGCGATGTTGTCCAAAGTCATGCCAGGCCCAGAACGGGCCGGTCATCGCATGAGGCGAGAGGGAGCAGGACGCGTGGCCGGACTCTTGAAATGATTCTCTTTTTGGGGGGAAAGAAGGATTGGGTTTCCTTTAACAAACCATCAAAATGGCTTTGAGGCCATGAACCTACTCCGAGCCCAGCTCAACCCCTCAATTCAGTTGCACGACGATTGGGAAGTCGCGCAAAAAGCGTACACTCCACTAGCCTTGGGGCCACAAGCATGCAAAGGCAAAAAAGGGGCCTGCTCAGGTCCACTTTGCTTGGTTTTCACAAGCGTGCAGAACACTTAAACGGATTTGTGTTTGCAAGCCGGAAAGGCATTTAAGGCATTTGAGCTTTTGAAAGGCTGAATCCGTCTCTTGGCTTATGCAAGCAGTCCCCTTATGGAGTGGGATTTGCAAACCCCGGACCTGGAGGCTTCCGAGAGGGTTCTGGACATGGATAAAGCTTGCGGTCCCGAGAGGGGACGGCTTCCCAATCAAGCGCACAAGAGACAAAATGAGCACATGCAATGATCTGGGACTTGGCAACGCATTTCGTATCTTCTGAAAATGTGGGCGTGACAGACCTATATCCTTTGTGACCTACAGAGCCCACTAAGCCTTTAGCTGGGTTTGGGTTGCCACAAACATATTTGAATCCGGAGACTGAAGCAGAAGCATGGAACCCAAAAGAGGGGTCCCCAAATCTAGGACAAATACGCGCTCCAGCACTCACGCAAGTATACACACACATACACACGCGCGCGATGACACTCTGCGCTTTTCCATGTGCAGATGTTTGCCAACGCATGGAAAATGTTAAGAATTCCCGAGCCTTTGCTCTTAGCCGGTCGCGCTCTGATGATCATGTGTTGTGATGATTGCATGATCGCTGCATGTCAAGTATTTTATGGCTTCTGCTGAAAGGCGCAAGTCATGCGCCAGTAGAACGATACCTTAGTTGTCTCATTGCTGCCCGCTGCAATCGAGGGCGTCCGGCCGTTACACACACAACATACAAATCCATAATACCCATATACATCCTGAATACTTGGATTACATTTTCTTACGCACCAGAAATGGAAATTGCTTTTGATAAATTGTATAGATTCATTTTGTATTTCGATAGATTATTATTCTTAGGTTTGATTTAATATGTTTCATTTATATATATATATTATAAATATTAATATTATATTATTATATATTTAATTTAAATTTAATATATTTTAAAAATATTAAATTTAATTATTATGTTTTTTTTTTTTTTTTTAAATATATATATTATATATAGTTTTAAATAAATATAATTTATATTTGATTGTAAGCAATAGAATTGGTTTAATGATAATTTAGGAATGATTAGATGTTGATATTGTTGGATGAATGAAATTGCATTTAAGGGTATGGTTATGTGTAGATTAAGGAGTTAGTAATGAAATATAAAATTTAAGAAATAATTTCGGTTTATAGATACACATTTTTTGTTAATGTTAAGTTTTTATAGTAATTTTTATATTAATTTATTGTAAAATGGTTTGTTTTTGTTATTAAATGATTTTGGTATGTTGTTGTTTTTAGATATTATATAGATATGATGGGGTTTATGGTAATGTTAGAATTTATGAATTAGAATTATGGTTGTAATTGCGTTATGAATCGGAATTAATATATTATTAGATCGGAATATATTATAATATTTGAATTGGTGGATTCTAGTGGATTAGGATGGATTAGGTTTGAGGTTAATTTTAGATGCGTTAGATAGGTTTGGCTAATAGGAGGTGGTTCGGATTTATTAGGATTACGGGGATATTGTATCGTTAAGGACGATTAACAGGAGATCCCTCGAGGTTGGCGCCGTGGTAAGTAATGATTAGGGACTACCCTCCAATTACATATCGTCTACTTCGTATAGCCGACGGCGCGTAGTTAGTAATAGATTTGGTGGACGTAGGAATAGTCGTGTAGGTGTTCTATTCGTAATTTTCTTAGGACGGTGTTGAACACATCCATTTCCTCGCCTTTATGGGAATGCGGAAGCTATCCTTAGGAATCGTTTGCAGCAATGTGTGCTGAGGTTGCGGGTTAGGGTCCTTGTTGGGCTGTACGAAGGCGTCCTAAATGGTTTGTGATAAATGAGGTCGTCTTGCGGTTCGACTGGTCTAGGGATTCTGTTCGATGTAGTTTATCACCTGCTCGAAGCGAGGGCGTTGGTTGAAGCCGTGGGACCGAAGCGTCTTTATCTCTTGATCGATTATTGCGCGGTAACTTCGTCCGCCGTTTGTTCGATGCTCCGGCGTTCGACGTGCGCGTAGCGAAGCTGAGGAACTTGATGGCACGGCCTCCGTTAGTTAGCTGACGTTATTTAGGGGCCCTCCCCTCCTTTCCGCTCCCCTGGCCAATTGTTGAAGGCCCGGGCCTCTTCTAGTTCCCGGTGATGCTGTAGTAGTTTGTCGAACTAAAACTAGTTATTGGCGTTATTGTTAATATATTTATGCCAAAATATGCTAAAAATGGATATCGAGGAATTTAGAAAATTTTAAGGTTAATAGACATGGGTTAGGGGAGTGGGGCGGGGGGGTTTTGGGTGGGGAGGGGAAAAACGAAGATTCCTTTTGAAAAACAAGATCTGAGCGCGCTTGCGTCCCTTGGGGCCGAGGTATTGAAGGATAGATTGCTGGTTGAATTGGGCTTGTTAGGATTGGGTCTGAGACTAGCTTGAGACATGTTAGATAGGCTTGGCCAGTAAAAGGTTATGCTTTTTGGGCCAATCTGTAATTTTTGAGCGTATATACGGCCAAAAACGGCCTATGGAGGCGTTGAGGAACCTCGAAAATTTTAAGGCCCGCCGGATAGGATATTAGGGCTAGCAGACATTGCTTAGAGGGGTGGGGGGGTGGGCCGCAGAAATTTTGGGAAGGGGTTGGGGTTTGGGAAGCTCCTTGGGGGTCGAGGCGAATTAGTTAAATATGTTTTTTGATTGTGTAGAATTATTTGTGGTTATATATTAAAGAAGGAAGATGTTGTTTTTGTTAGATTCGTTGGATATTTCGTTTTTGTTATTTGATATATAATTGTTTTATTTTATATACTAATTATTTATTATTATATTTGTTATTTTAAATTCTGTATGCCTAATTTAATTATTAATTTTTCGATTATATGGGGGGGAAATTGTCGTCCCCCTCTTAATTCCCCCCCGCATGTTTTTTTTTTAAATATAATATTTAATTTTAATTGAATTTTAATTTTTCGATTGTTATAGAAGGAATTGCCGTTCCTTAAATCCTTCGTTACTCCACAAGAATGGGAAAAGGAATTACTATCCTTTTTAAATCCCCCGATATTTTTTGGACTTTTGATATTCAATTAAATTATTATTTTTTAATTATTATAACGGAATCCCAAATTTTTGTATATTTTTTGCAAAATAACATATATATCTTAATTATTTTTTATTATTATTATAAAACGATTTATATTTCTTATAATCCATCATTATTTTTGATTTCGATTATTATAGGCAAATTAATTTCTATTCGAATCCCCATTTGATTTTTAAAATTATTTAAAATAATTTTTATTTTATACGAAATTTATCCCCTTCCTAGCACCATATTATTTTTGTTTTTTAGCAGAAATTAAAATCCATATTCTGTTTTTCACATTTCCAAAATCATAATATTTCTAGTTTTATGCAAAAATATATTTTTAAGATATAATTAAATATCTATTTATGTTATTAAAATTATTCTAAGAATAATAAAATATATATAAATATAATTTTAATTAATTAATAATATTAAATAATTTATAACGAGAAATATATATAGACAAATATACATAAATATTATTTAAATTTTCTATAACAATTATATTAATTATAAAAATCTTTAAGAATTCTTTTAGTTTCCATATAAATCATTTCTTTTGTATTTTTACCTAATGTAGGGAATATATGCTAGTATACGCTCTATTATAAGTGGTTTAAGATTAATAACAAAAGACCAATTACAAATTGTGTTGTTTTTTAGACATTATAAACCACTATGTTCGGGTATATGCATGTATGTATATATTAGCTACATTCTATTAAACGATTAAGATTAATATATAATATAAAATCAATTATAATTAATTACTTCTATCTCGATTTAGTAAAATCTATAATTCTTATCTTCCCAAAATTCTACCCAATCAAATACAATATTACCCTATTACCTTCACAAATTCAAACTAATAAATAATATTAAATTCATTTATATATAATATATAATTTATTAATAAAATAATTATATACTTAATAATACACTGTAATATATAATACATATTTATATATATATATATAAATTCCTTCGAATATTAACTATTCATTAATATATACTTATTTAATTGAATATTATTATATATTTGATATATAAAAATACATAAATCATAATATATAATTAATAATATGTTTTATTAATTATTCCAATATATACACAAAAATATAATATTACTAGCGGGGGCCCGCTGCTTTCCAGCAGCGTGCGAGATGAAGCCTATAGAGAGTAACAAAATCAGAATATACAGTTAAACCATATTCCAAGAAATAGTCATAATTAGATATATACGATCGTACTCATAGAGAAAGAAATAGGTAAACAGATCGAGCAAGTGCTTAACGAAAAGCGATTTCGGCATATTTCAAGAAAATAATAATAATGATGATTTTCCTAAAATATCTAGAATATTTCGGGAAATTTGGCCCTATAAAAAATGCAGCCATAGGTCACTATATGACCAAATATGCTAAGTAACCGAAACCGTAGGAGTATATCTCTTCGTAATATGCAGCTTATTTCTTAACGCACCCCCAAAAGCCGAGACGCCCGGCCGTGTGTACAGAAACCTCCAAAATATCTATAGCATAAACTTAGGATAAGCCCTTAATAAGCCCTTATAAAGTAGCTAAGGCTCGCTGTTAGATGGATTTGTAAAAAAAATCGATTAGCGGTCAAACAATATCTAAAAAAATGATGGAATATCGTATGAGCCGAGCTCTCAAGGCCGTAGCGAGTGTACCAAGAATAGAGCAAATCTTATAGAACCTATATCGGCAATATTTTTTACAATTTAAGCATTAATATATTCTATTATCTATATCAAACAATTCACAAATTCTTCGCGAACGAGAAATATGCCGTTTTCCAAGCACAAGATACACTAAATGCCGGGCTAGTCGCTCTCAAATGGGCCTAGAAAAGGAGGCCTACGTCGTTAAGGGCGGTCCGATAAGGTCACACCAAAGACCAATCACAAACACAGAGATATGTATTCATCTAAAAACACATTACTTTTAATTATGGTTTTGGAAATTAGAGAATGGCTGCAATATATTCTATCATATATATCAAACAATTCAAAAATTACCCGCATACAAAAAGTATACCGTTTTCCAAACACAAGTCGCGAGATATCGTTTAACGGGCTGGTCGCTCTCCGGTTCGCTTGGAAAAAAAAGCCTATATCGCTAAAAACGGCCCGATAAAATCATACTAAAATACTCATCGGAAAGTATATAGCTTTGGATTATGGTTTTAAAGGGTAAAGAATAGTTTTCCATTTGATCCAAGAATTAAATTCCCAAACCGTCAATCCAAATCAACAATTAGAGGTAAATTAAAGCATATGTCAAAAAAAATAATCATAAGAAATAATTCTAATATATTTCATTTCATTAAAAACAATTCACAAACCAAGACCAAAGCGTCCACAAAAACATAGCCATAAAATCCAATTAAAAAATCAATTAAAATCTATATCGATAAAACATTTTTTGCAATTCAAACACCAATATATTCTAAAAAAACCATAAACGCAAAAACCACACCAACAAACATTTTTGTAACTCAAACACCAATATATTTTATTATATTATATATATTCTTCGTATATCATTCTCCCAACATAAATTACGAAATACATTAAAGACCAAATTAATAAAATCATATCAAAAAATCAATAAAACATAATCGCCTAAACAAAATAAAAACAAACCCATACAAATATAAATCTTAAAAAAAAAACACATTCCTATACATAATTCTTACAAATACAAACAAATTTACAATCAACCACAAAACCAAACTAATTTCGCTCAACATATTAAAAAATACCATTAATCACAACATTCGGCCGCGACTCATAACTTCTCATATCACCAAATTCTAAAAACAATTTATAAAATTTCAATCAACAAATAAATATCCCAATGCTTCATCTAAACAACACAACGATTTCATTCAAGACCTAAACCATTTTTCCTAAATATCCCGCATATTTCAAAATGTTCACTCAAACCATTTTACCGAAAATATTCTAGATATTTCATTTCCAAAAATATTATAAAAATATTATTTCAAGATTTATTCAAATTATTTCGAGAAAATAGTAAATATTATCCCTATAAAAAATAAAATCAATATCTTCCAAATTATAACCGAAAAACACCCAAATAAATTTAAATAAACGGCCCACAAAAAATATATAACCATTATATCTTCCAAGCGCAGCCCAAACCAATTTTCCGAAATATCCAAGATTTAAATAATGTCTAGAGATCTAAAAACCGAAACACTAATAACGATCGACAACAATAAAACAAAGAATCCAATTATCTCGCAAGAACTTAAACGAAGAATTTAAACACCAGTCGAATATTCTAATCAATCATCATTTTCAATAATAACAACAACAAAATCCACATCAAACATGACAAATTTAGCACTAATAATCGCAATTTAACATTTACATACTAATACTATTACACTAAATATTTGCGAAGTGAAATTTGCTTTTTTAGATTCAAGATTCTAATTAAATTCTGATTAAACGCTCTTTCGAAAAGTGCCAAATCATCTGTTTATGTAGGCCCCACGACTAAAAAGTATTCCCAGGGTTCATGATCAGTGCTGAGGGCGACCGGCCACCATGGCCGCGTGCGCCACGCGTTCATCCAGCTGCCCTCAAGCAGTTCTTGGGGCTTTACCTGCTACAGCCAAGCCACGCTCAGAATGCGGTTGTTGCATGTTGTTGCTGCGCAGCCCATCCTTGCCCTTTGGACTGCGGCTGTGGCTGTCCTTCAATGCCAAGTGGATACTTTCACGCTGCTCATGCTCGCCCAGAAACCTGTCGAGCACTGGAAACATTCTCAGAGCGTGTCATTTAATTTGCAAATGTATCCTTTTGTGGGCTGCTTATCTACTTGGCTTACCTTGAATGGGGTCCAACAAACATGCTTTCTTTGGAAAACTTCGCAACGCTAACCTTAGGAGAGATTCTGTGCGCTCTTTGCCTTCTCATCCAAAGCTCCCCCGCGTTGCCCGAACTGAATTCGACTGAAGGAACTCGCTATGGCCAGTGAGAACCAAGCTCGATGACGCGGGACAATCTGCACTGGCTCAGAGATTCGAGACGTTTGCAAAGCCAAGGGACCAACTCAATGCCTGGCGATTATCCATACAGTCGGTCATATGTAAACCCTCTTGGGCAGCTTCCCAGCCCCAATAGATCAATGTGTCCATTCGGGGCCGGAGGATTGGCAAGTGCAATGAATTGGTGCAGGGTCCGCAGCCGATGGCAATCATTGCTTGTCGGCTCATGTCAGTCATACCCGCACCCCATTGTTTGAGTGGCTTGCGCCAAAGGCGAAAGTTATTCGGCCCAGCAACTTCTCTTGATTTAGAATGCGCTTTGTGCAATGACAACAATGTGGTGCCGTCAAACAGCTCCAAGACGGTCGTAAAGTCTTCAAACCGGCCAGCCTTGTGCCTTTTCGCAAGCTGCAACGCATTTTGCGTCGCCTTTGTTTTCGAAAGCTGTACACCTGAGTCATCCTGCATTGCTTGAAATTTTGTGTATATGTAGGGTCCGAACCAAACAGCGCCTGCTGGCTGTCCTTGGTGCATTGCTTGCATTGGGCAGCCAGTCACCAAGCAGCTCAAGACTGCCATCTGAGTCCTGCGTTGCGAGGGACCAAGCTCTTAAAGTCTTAAACCAGCGCCTTCTTGACTGGTTTCAATTCCAGTTGCCTCGTGTGATGGCTCAGTCACCCATTTGCAGTGGTCAATGCCCACTTCAGTCCTCCGACCCACAAGGAGAAAGATCCGAAGGGCAAATGATGCGCGGCACAGAGAGTTGCGGGTAGTTCGCGGGCCTGGGGCTTGCGCCTTAGCGAAGCCGACTCAAAACGCCACGGTCATGCACTGCAGTCGGGTCCTCTTAAGCAAACATTCGGGCATTTCATAGTGGGTAAATCAAATTATTGCTCCTTGCCCGCGGAACACGGGGATGACCATAGCCAAATGGAGCGACGCCCGTCATTCCTATCCCACTTGCCAAAAAGGGGCCGCCAGCTGTGTCCGCGGAGTCCCGCAGGTTGGCGTCAGACTTCGGCTTCGGAAGGCACAGGGAGTCCCCCACGTTCACAGCCTGAAAACTGAGTGGATTTTGGATGGCACAAATGACACACTCGCAGAGGTTTGACCATTCAAACATGCACGCGAAGTGAAGTGGAAGCAAACGCGTATACCCGTTTCAACCATGCGATCAAGAGTCGCTGCATTTTAGGGGTGGGTGCAGTTATTTTTCAAGATAGTGCCTTGCGCTTCGAAGGGAAGGAAGGAGGCTCCAAAACCATCAGAACGAGGAAATGACATGCAAAGTGCAATTGCTTCCTTCCCCCTTCCTCCGCTTCCTCCCGAAATTTCGAATTTCGGGTGGAAGCGGCGACAGCTCCAAATTTTCGGTTGCGGCTCGCTCTGACATCTTTCGGGGCCCAGGGGCCGCGTCCAGCAGCACAGGAGCCACCTGCAGGCCAGCACTCACCGTGCGCATCTGCTGCAACGGACTGGTCTGCACCGAGTGGGTGATCTTCGCCTTCCGTGTTGCGAACCGATGCGAACCGGATATCGCAGAGTTGGTTGGTTTCCCCCACACCATCCAACAGTTCGGTGTCTTCGAGAATGCCCAAGTATGAGACTTTTGTGCCTCTGAGCAGGGAAAGCGCGGACTCTGCGGTTTCCATTGTTTGCGGGAAATATGCTCCGGCCTCTTCTAGCGAAGCGCCCACACACGCGTCCACCTGCAATCAATTGATTGAATCGTGGGAGAAGATTGAGCAAAATCCCATTGACAACAGCATCAGTAGCCGCTCCGTGACAAGCAAGCAGTACTGGGATTATGCTTGTTTATGCGGATTGTTTCAACAATCACATGGTGCTCGATTGCTTGTCGGGACCGAACTGATGCTTCAGTCAAGCAACTGCAGGTGGCATTGCTGAACTCCGGCACCGAATTTCATCGTGTGGGGCACTCATTTGAAGCACTTGGCTACTGATGGAATCATAAACCCCTTCACGAAGGGCTCGCACTCGCGCCTTGGTAACTGGTGCCAGCACCTCGAGGGCTTCCGGTGCTTCGGGCGCCGGCACGGCGGGAGCCGGCGGTGCCGGCGGCGCTGCCGGGCACGGAGCGACGGGAGCCGGCAGGGGCGGCGCTGGTGCTTGGGCCGCGAGGCGTGCGAGGATGTCCTGAACGCCCTGGAGCTGTTGTTGCAGGGCCCCCAGCTGCAGTTGCTGCTGACCTCAACGTTGAACACTTGGCTGAATGATGCACGTGCAGGGGTCCCATCCTTCAACGCCTGTCGCCAAGGCTGGCACCGACAATCTCCCGCAGCTGCACGTCCTCTATGCGAGTCTCGGACCTCCGTATTTGATGGACCGAAGCAGGATTTGCAGCAACATGCTGAATGCTTGGTGCATCTGACAGAATGTCTTGAAGTCACCCGAATGTTTGAGTGGATCACTCTTGTTTGTACAGTCTGTGGCGCATGCTTCTACTCCTTCGCCCAAATCTATAGAATTCCCCGGGCCTCTGAGATGAGGTTGTGGCGTGCGGAGAGGTGGACATGAGCCACGAGGCTTGGCCTGGCCATGTCCGCTTGGACGTCGAACCTTGATATCGTACACCGCATGAGCCTTTGTAAACAGGCCTGTCATTCTCAGGTACGTTGGATGTTACGCTTTGCAGGCATGCTATACACACATGTATGTTGTATTTATATCATCACCCCCCAAAAAGAAACTGCTTTTGCATAAACGCTTTGAAGCGCTTCAAAGTGCTTTGTTGGGACCAAACACAGCAAACAATAAACACAGAACTCTGCAGCTTTTGATGTTTCACCTAGACTAGACTCTAGAGCTTTTGAGAAGTTTTAAAGTGGCTTTGAAGCCCTTTTGCATTCCTTTTCAATTCAAGTTTCAAGATTTCAGGACTCTCATTTTAAGTCTTCAATCCAGCAAGGCTCCAAATCGATTGCGTTCAAGAGGTACAAGCCGCTTTAAAGCCCTTTGCTTGAACCATACCGGATGCAAGATTCAACATGATCCTGAGAAGAATCTTGAATCCAAAAGGGCTTGAAGGCCGCTTCACTGGCATTTACTTGGAGCCCAACTATCTTGAGTCTTGAATTCGAAAGGGGTTTAAAGCCGCTTTCAAGATTGCTTAGAACTCTAGAGTCTAGGTTAAAGATTCAAAAAGCAGAGTCTCAAGCAAGCCAACTTGCATCTTGAACTTTCATTCATTCTACTTCTGTTAAGTCTCCTTGTTGTTTTGGGGGGGGGAGGGTAGGTGTGCATGTATATCATCATACAAAATACCATTTGTACACACTAGAACTCTGTGTGTTTGAGGGTGCCTTGTAAATGGCTGGCATCGTCATTTCTTGTTATCGCAATTAGGAATAAATCTTAGGTGCAGGGCTTTGCGTTTGGTTGTTCAGGTTTGAGGGCTACAGGGGTTAAGGGTTTCAAGCGCTGTAGGGTACTAGGGCGTAGGCTTTAGGGTTGTGGAGGTTTGCGAAGCCCGACATGGCCCAACCCTCATATTGTAGACATAAGAAACAATCCACAGAACTCCAAAGAAACGTTCATCTGCTCGGCGCACGCCGACTGCGTCGCCTTGCAGCGCCCAGGAGGAGGCCGTGGACAGCGACGGCACTCGGAGCTTCGGCCCCGGGGGCGTGGCCGGCGGCGTCTGCGGCGTCGGCGTCTCACCCGGACGGCGCTGGCCGCAGCGGCTGCAGAAGCGCGCGTCCGCCATGTAGCCTGCGGCCATGCGGCCACGCCAAGGGGCCCCGGGGCCCCCCTCCAATCCTCATGGCTTGAGTCTGAACGTTAACCCGAAACATGTAGCAAGAGCTCAAGGAAGTGCTGGCAATTTGATAAAGTTGACTTTGGATTCATTCGGAGGACCGTAAGAATCAGGGTGATGTACTTCCATTTCTCCGTTTTAGGGAGATTCCTCTGCGCTTCTACAAACCAAGGGTCCGATGAGCTCGCCTGCGCCACAGGCACTGCACTCCTCTGCTGCTGGGGTTGGCGTGCCGCGGGGTTCTTCAAGCCTCGCGAGGGCCTTTGACCAGTGGCCTTTCTAAAGCCATGGGCTTACAGCACTTGAACATCAGAAGACTTCACTAGAAAGTGCCAAGCAAACTCCGAGTCCACAAAACTAAGCAGCTGGTTGTTGAAAGACAAGCCTGCGCAAAGAGAGCACATGGGCATGCAAATCAGGCACTTTGAGGCGGTTTGTCGAAAACTTGAAGCGGCAAGTAGGCATCAACGTGCTCACTGACGCAATGGGCCACTCTGGGACAGCAGGTCCTAAGAAGATGTCACGATGTCTTTGTCTCGCCGGAGCGAACGCACGTGCCAGAGCCTGAAGCCCTGAGCCGTGCTGTCCATCCTGGGCTGCTTGCGTGAGGTTGCCAGGAAGCTCTGCAAGTCCGGGAAATGCCCCAAAACCACCTGACCTGATTTGCAGCAAAACCACCTGCGGGAGGTTGCCAGGACGCGTGATTTGCAACATGGGCAAAATAACTCTTTGGAGTGACTCAATCCCCAAATGACCCGAATCCCAACCCGGATGAAAACGCACGGCGCAAACTCGCCAGAACCGCGTGAAACTCATGCGCTCCATGGGCTCGAGATCGCGGGCCTCCGGCAGAAGAAAAAGAGCAAAAACCTGAAGGTGCTCACTGCAAGTTCCCAAAGAAAGCACCGCCCAGGAATTGCGAAGGGTCGAAGTTCCATTTGGCCACCCACGTGTTGCGCTGTAACGCGCACAACTCCCCGTTTCCTCCCAGCCTGGCCGGTGAGCTCTGCAGCCAAGACTGGGGAGAATGATGGCTGCACCTCACAAAAGAGCAACGGACCCTTTGAGGGAGTGATCATTGCCACTTGCCCAACAAGTTGAACCTGGTAAGTAAACACGCATGTGCGTGCAAAATGCGAGATGTTCAAGGTCCGAGCAACTAGCTACTACATGGAATACAAGATGCTTCGCCAACCAACTGGGCAGGGATCGATTCTTAGGTTTGCTCTGGCGCCAGACGGCCATGGCGCTTGTGCCCGCACCAGCGAATGCGCTTCCATAGCATGCACCCGCAGGAAACTCACTTCACATTGGCAGCCATGAGGTAATGCTTAAAACCAAGAGGGGGCATATAGGGAACCCCGAAAAAGCGGGGGCTGGCAGCCAACGCGGCTTCCTATGTTTGGCCCTTCCGCCTCCAAGGCTGGATGCACAGAAAACTTCCTGAAAACCACGGGTTTCGTTCAGCAGGGTTTCAACGGGACTTCCCACCCAAAAACCAAAAAGTGATAATTGCCTCACAGGCCAATGCAACCCTTCAGGCCTTGGCCTTCTCTTGCGCCGCCTGCCCTGCGACGCGGGCTAGGTCACCATACTCGGCCTCAACAGCTCCGTGGCCCAGGCCCGGCTGGTTCTTTGCGGGATGCGATGCAAAAGCAATAGGGATCAGAGGCATCCACACGTTGGGACATGGCACTAGAAAACGCGACAAACAAAGCACCTCTCTCCCTGCTTGTCCCAGCTGCTGTTTGGCCTGAGCGAATGGATGTTGCTTTTCTGGCTCTTTGGCCACTTTCATTTCTTCTTGTCCGGTTTGACTGTTTGACCGCTTGGCCTGCTGAGTGCAGCGCCCCGTGCCACAAAGCCAAGCGGCCGTGTACGTCTTCATCTGCGTCCAGTCGTCGCCCTTTGCAATGGATGCCTCGTTGCGTGCGAGGCGTGGCGACTTCACCCCCGTCATTATCTCCCTCACTCTCGCAAGCCACGGCTCTGCATTTAAAGCGCACATGCAAAGGCGCACGCACACACACACACACACACACACACGCACACACACACACAGACACACACACACACAGACAGACACACACACACAGACACACATACAGACACACACACACACACACACTCACACATAGAAACACACCCACACAGACACACACACAGACACACACACACACAGACACACAGACACACACACAGACACACACACACAGACACACACACAGACACACACACACACAGACACACACACACAGACACACACACACAGACACACACACACAGACACACACACACACAGACACACAC